TGGTTCTCTGTAGATATTGGTTGCCTGGGAGACCCTAGCCAGGCGGGGCTCTAGTGATGTCACAATAGGAACAAGCCAATAGCCTTGACGTTGGTCAGTGACGGGGGACGCGGGGTGTGGCTTTGCCGGCCCTGGCGCGATGAGGCGGCTGCCCGCTGGGTGGCGCCGATTTCCCGGGGAGGTCCTTTCTGGGCCCCCGGCGGAGGTGGGGGAGAGGCGGGCAGGAGCCGAGGCCAGGGAGCCCTCTGCGTCAGCTGCTGCTCGCTGCGCCGCGCCAGTGCCAGCCAGGACTCACCCGCAGCTCCATGCTTGTGCCCGGTTCGACTCGTCGTCCATCCTCGGAGAAGAGGCAGGTATGTGCCACCTGTCGGAGATCCGGGAAGAGGGATGTGGGGGTCACTGCCGGTTTGAAGCTCATAAAGTGAGGTGTCAACGATAGTCTGGGCAGAATGGACATTAGAAATGTAGGGCGAGGGCCAGCTGTGCGGGGGAGCTCCAGCTATGGGTCCCACTATGTAAGGGGGGCTGCCAGCTGACAGCCCAAGGTGCCAGGAAGAGCCATCTGTGCACAGATCAGTGTGTTCTAAGGAAATGCTGCTTCGGAGGGTCCAGGTCGCTGTGCCCAGTGTAATATGTGGCCCGAGAGTGATGCCTGGACGCTGACGACCCCCCTTCCCACGTGTGCGTGTAGCTCACTTACTACCTGCTCCTAAAGCTCCTGGGGGCTGTCTCCGGTCAGTTTGCCAAAGGGGGGAGGGGTTTTGGGGAGCGCAGCAGTTAAACGGAAGGAGAGATTTTCCACCAATCCCAAATCAGAAAGAGGCAACTTTGAAATTCTCCTAAATCCCAAACCAGAAGTGGGCATGTGGTGTTCCAGGCAAGTAACTTAACCAAGGGACACCCAAGCCAAACCATCCTTGCTCTCCTCTGAGGAGAGTCCTAGCTCTTAACCTGGATGCTTTTAAAACAGGGCTGAGTTGGAAAGTTGTAGGGGCTGCTCATCTCCCCAGGACCAAGCATGAGAACACCCCCCAAATCCACCCGCAAAGCCAGAGGAAAGGAGAGGATTGATGATCTAGTGTTGGGGCATTCCCCTGCTCTTTTGATGCTGTAGACAGATGCATGGTGACTGGAATGAGGACTGGAATGAGGGCGTCCTCTGAAGTGCATCATCAGGACCCAGGCTGAGTCAGTGGCCTGTGCTGAGACAGGGTGGAGGCACCAGCACGGGTCCTCCCAGTCCTCAGGGAGAGCCATCGAGAAACAGGAGACTCATCCTGAGAGCAGACAGGTGCACCAAGGCCAGAAAGGCCAAGAACCCTGCTCCTCCTTGTGACCCTGCCCAGCACAGCTCTGCGGCCCAGGAATCCCGAGCCCTCCAGCAGGTAGAGTGGAACCACTCCAGAGGGGCCAGAGAGTCTCCTAGCAGTCTGGGGGAAGCTACACTTGCTATATTTTTCTAGATAAATGGGGAGGGAACCCAAATGGGCTTGTCCTGTCTCACTTTGGTGGACTGGACATCTGGGAATATGACAACTGGCATTTGCCCTTCCCACTTTTGGGATGTGGGCCAGTTCAGAAAACCACAGGGCTATTCTCTGGCATTAAAACAGAGCACTCCCTGAGGGGTGGCCTGAGGCCTTTTTCTTCTAGGTTAGGGTCCTCTTCTAGGAAGGATCACCAACTGCTACTACTAATACTGCTGTTCACTAAAACAAGAAGTGGAAGTATTCAATACAATCATCGTTTTCTGAACTCTTACTATATGCCAGGAAATTTACAAATATTATTTTATTTCATCCTCACAACTTTGAGGTATACTATTATTATTGTTATTATTATATTTTATTAATCATGTTTTACAGACTAAATGAGATTCAGAAAGCTTAAGTGACTTGCTTACTGACTCAGATCCAATAGGGAGAAGAACTGGAATTCAGGCCTAGTCTTAGAAGTCTATCGTAAAAAAGTAGTGAACTGAAACCTGAGTACTGGTCTTGTCTGCCTCTAGCTGTCTGTGTGCCCTTGAGCTAGGTCTACTCCATCTCAAAATTCCAGGGGCTGTAACTAGCAGTAAGGCTTCTTCCTGTTCTCTAATTCTATGACTGACAGCTCCACAGAATCCAGCCTCTTCCTATTTTTGTCTCAATTTCCACCCCAGTCCTCTACCATCCAGTTTCCCCTTGAATTCCCCCACTGTTCCACTTTAAAATGCCTCCTCCCGAGAGTCTTAGTAGGACTCCTTGGCTGGCACCAGTCAAACCAAGCGGCCCATGAAGAGTGGGCATGCCACTGCCCCTTTAATTCTCCCGGGGCTTGGAATGCAAGTTGCCTTCTCTGGGAGGTCAGATAAGATACTATATATATCCAGCGTAACCTGAGCTCCGGATTACCCAGCCCGGAGTCAGACTCCAGCTTCTGGGCTCTCCACTGCGTTCTCTGCCCTCCCGGGGAGGAAGCCCCCAGGTCCCATCCAGTGCCCCTGGACACAGGTCAGTAGCGGCCCCTTTGGTGTCTGAGCTTTGCCTGGGCAGCTGTCCAGATGACAGACATGAATGAGTTTGGGGGAGCTCATGAGAGGCCACCGTTGGGCCTGGTGGGTGCAGTTGGCAAGACCAAAAGCTCCTCAGGAGGTGAGTAAAGAGGACAGCTAAAGTCCTAGAGGAGAGAGAGGAGGACAGAACTCTTCCCTGGGGAAGGGGCACCTGGAGAGTGCCTGGGCAGAAGTAGGTGCAAAAGAGAATGTAAGGACAACAATACTGTCTGGAGCCCATTTCTTTGCCTTTTCTTGGACCTGTAGATGCCCAAACCCAAGTCAAGAAGCACCCTATAGAGATGCTGCCCTGGGCCCACCCACTTATTCTCCACCAGTCAGGATGCTTGCCTTAATCTCCAATCTCTTTATCTCCCCTCCCACTGCCACCCCCTGGACTATTACCAGCAGCCAGAAAGATAGAGATGAATCCAAATTCCCTTGGATGACCCCTTACTATGGCAGATAAGCTAGTGGGTCCCTCGGTGCTAGCTCCTGATAAGGGAGAGCTGCTAGTGACAGGTTAGAGGAGGGGGTATAGGTTGAGGCTCCTGGGGCCTAGAAGTAGACAGTATGGGCACATAACTATGCCCCACCCCCATCCTCAACCTGCATCTTCCCCACCTTCCAGAATTGGATGCTTGTATCCAGACAGGGGAGCAGGGGACCAAAGCAGCCAGACTAAGAATCAGAGAGTGTAGGTGGAGGGAAACAGGGCCCCCGTCTCACCCCCCTTAGCCTTCAGGGTCAGCACATTCTGATGCGGTTAGCAAGCAGCTTTCGGAAGCTCTGAGGTCATCACCACCACGGAGGCTCCCGAGCACCCAGCAAGACTAACTAGAACTCCTCACTCACCTGCTCTGATCACCTGGGTAGGAAGGAAGAGACTTAACCCTGTTTAGGTGTGACCCTGAAGCTACTTGGGGCTCTGTGGCCAGGAAGCCAACATATCTTCACTCCAGAGAGCCAAGCAGATCTGGGCAAGTGAAGATTGCTGGGATGTGGGGCATCACCCATCTCCTGCCCCCAGGGCCAGGAGTGCCTGGGATTCTTGGGGAGCAAGTCCCTCCCCTGGCTGGGCAGGTTAGGGAGCCCTTCACGTGAGCTACAGGAAATGACAGTGGCTGACGCAAGGAGATGGCTGCCCCAAGGGGACAGGGCTCATTAACCCCTTATTCACCTAGCATAGGTACCTTGGGGAGTGGGCTGAACGGCAGTCAGATTAGGAGACTGGGGGACATGTTCAAACAGCCAGGGGGCCAAGGACCTTGAGCCGGGGTAGATGCTGGTGCCAGGGGACACATAGAAATTTGGCACCATGAGTGAAATGGAGGCCTCCTAGACCATCTCATGGCCAATCAGTATTATTCTGGGGCTCAGGTTGCACCTGGCTTCATTTTCATTCGCCTGCAGGAAAAAATCCAGAGGGCTGCTCCTGTGAGAGTTGGTAACCCCCATTCTGTTGCTGGAGAGTGGACACCCAGATCCTACAGTGGTCCTCTCCCCACGCCCACCTCACAGGTCCCTAGCCCTACCTCAGCCCAAGAAAGTATCAAGTGGGGGTCTCGGCTTCAGGGTCCTAACCCGACTCTGTGACTGCTCCAGCAAGGCTCTGGGACGGCCACATCACTCCAGGGATCTTAGTTTCCTTGTCAGCAAATGAGTATCGTAACAACACCTCTTGCTATTACGTAGCCGGAGGACCACGTCAACACTGTGCCCCAAGTCTTAATGCCATTTTAAGCTTTAATACCTTCACAAATATAATGCTAAAAACTTCATTTGAAAGTTTCACTTATTAAATTTCTTGTACATTTATTTTTGAATTGTGAATAAATTCTTAATTTTTTAATAATTTGACCTTTCCAACAATGTTTGTAAGTGTGAGGCAGCCCTCTGTTTGAAAAAGTTCAGCTCACCCCTGCACTGAGACTTCTGGGGTTCTGCTGATAAGAACGCTCAGAAGGCAGCGGGACGCATGGTGAGGGCCGCATGTGTTGGTATAGGGCTGCCGAGAAGGTGAAATCAGAAACTGCAATATGAAGTCCTCAGTGTACTTGGTGCCTGGTCCATAGGTGTAGAGCACCAGCTGGCCAGGTGACAGCTGCTTGGATCAGATGTCCCCTACAGGAAGCTGAGTTCCACTGTGCAGAGGAATGCTAGTGCACCTCTCAAGAGGGGTAAACTGATCAAAGTGATAGGGAATCTCAGAGAAAGGAAGAGCTGGGAACCTTGGAAAAGAGGGCATCAAGGAGGAGTGTGGGTATGGGACTGCCCCTGTTGTCCAAGGTGGCGGGCACCTGGGGAGGTGCTGCCTGAAGCCGCATGCCTATACTTGCCAGCTCTGGGTAAACAGTGAAAGGAGCTGGGCAGCAGGGGCCCCACACTGGGTAGGGAGGAGTACGGGGGATCCCAGCCAATCGGCTGGCCTCCCGCTGCCCCATGAAAGGGCCATTCAGTCCAGGCTGTTCCTGTGGCAACAGGGAAACTCGCAGCCATGTGAGTGCCCGCTCTGTCCCTGTCTTGCGCAGCAAGGCCACCACCAGGGCCCCAGCCCAAGCTCCCGCCCATGGTGCATCCTGCAGCCTCCAGGGACAGCAGTGCCAGGTAATGTCAACCCAAGCTGTCTTATCACATGGAAAGCGCTGGGACTCTTCTGAAGAATGAGACTTGGGTTTGGTGAGGGTAGGGGGATGTGTTCAAGCCCCAGTAAGGACCCTCTCCCTAGACATGAGAACTGTTCGACAGATATCAGAGCTGAGTGGCAGCTTCTAGGGGGTGTTAGTGATGGCATGTCTCCCAGGTTGCTGGGGGAGGGCGGAGGCCTGGCAGTTGCCTGCCAGATTAGAGAAGTCAGGAGAGCCAGGATCTGGGATCCCTCCTGGGATTCTTTGGGATAGAAGGTATGGCTCCACCTCCATATCCGCCCCCCCCCTTCCAGGGCTGCCTGTTCCTATCTGCTGTACCTTGTTTGGCCCAGTACTTCTGCGTCATCAGCAGGGCTGGAGAGGTCATGGGCTTAAGGCACTGCCGCAGAATACCAATTCCCCCGGGAGTGTTGGGGAGGGGAGGGTGAGCTGTTAAAGACTAGCCATGAGCTCATGCCCTGGAGGTGAGGGAATATCTGATTGGTGGCAGGGTGTCCAGAGCCCAGCTCCAGAGACCTGGAGTCTCTTTGACTTTGCATTATTGATGGAGTTCTCCAAAGTGAAACAGCAGGTCTGGTCCTCTGCCCTCACTCCTGAGCCTCTGTCTCTCCCATCATTTCCCTGGATGAGATGGTCCCCCAGTTACTTTTTCCTAGATAAGAGTGAAAGTTGTGCTGGAGGTGGGAGCCAGGGGACAAGGGAGAGTACATGAAAGGTAGCATGGGTTTTGTGGGCCAAGCAAGTAAGGGCAGAGAGTAAGGTGGATGGGCCTTCCTGAGGCCAGCCTGGAATTAAAACTGCTGGAAACCTCTAGCAGAGTCACAGAGTGATTTTCTGGGTCCTACATGGAAGTCACCACTTGCTCATCTCCCACTCCTACACCTATCCCAAGTCTTGCATGGATTAGATTTCTAGAGATTTCTGCCAAGCTTTAAGCATTTGGGGCTTGGCACCAGGTCCTCTCTGCTCTAATGAGCTGGGTTGCTGGTCTAACGCAGGCAGGCTGTGGGCTGCCTGAGCCAGTGTCTGTTCAACAACTAGGTGTCTGCCCACTGCCCACTAATCTCTCTGGGGGCTGCAGGAGGAAGCCTGGTGCCTAGGCTGAGGTCAGGAGCCAGCCAGGCTGGGAGATGGCCAGTCCTGACATTATTATTATAGGGAAGAGCCAGGCTGCCTGGCAGGGGCTGGGAGAGGAGATAATAACCAGTCATTGTTAGGGGCTTTCACGTGTTATTATCTCATTTATTCCTCACAACAACCCTGTGAGATAGGAATCATGATGATAATCATTATACTCATTTACAGGTGAAGAAATTGGGCTCAAAGAGGTTAAAAGAGTAGTAAAAAAACTGCCCAGCTAGTCTGTCATGGGGAATCAAAGCTGGCCCCTCACACACACTACCTTGAGAGTCTTAGAAAGGTCTTCATCCCCACACCAAGGGAACTCCCCAAGAGCCCCTGAGGATCCTTGAGGAAAGGGGCGTGAGCCTACTTGCTCCTCTCTCTGAAGCATTCCTGCCACTCCTGCTAAAGTGGAGATGAAGCCTGCATGCTGGGGTGATGGTGGCACTATAGGTATCCCCAGCTGAGCCTAACTTTGAAGGGGGAGAAAAATGGAAAGAATGCTGGGTCACATGCTAAAAGACATGGATTCCAATCCTGACTTTGCCAGAGTGTGGCCTTGATCAAACTAACATCATTTTTCCTATCTGTCCAACAGAGAAGTTAAAATGCATGATCATTTAGGGACCTCCAAGCTCCACATTCTGTGATTTCTGTGTTCCTTCATCAGATCCACTGGCCAGGGAGGAGTGGTGTCACCTGCAGTGCAGGATTTTGGCCTCTAGGGGGCCCCTTTGCCCAAATCAAGTTTTAACAGGAGCAATTTAGCATCCTTGTTGGGAGGAGAATCCCTGGGAGGCCCTGAGGCCCTAACTCCACAGAAGGCTAAGCTCAGTAAAGAAGGTGGGTTTGGCCATAGCAGTATCCCCACTGCAGGACCAAGCAGCAGGTTTCCATTCTCAGGGAAGCACTCTGGGGTGCAGTGTGGAGACTGATGTCCAGTCCCTCTGCTGAATGCTCCCTCACCACCTCCCCTGCCCACTGATCCCCATCACTTCTTCTCAGGAGCCTTTTTTCCTTGTGAGAGATCTCACCCCATGATCTTCAGATCATCACAGCAGACAGTCTACAATGCCAAAGAGCTCCTGCTCATTACTTAAGTCAGAGGGCAGGAATCCATGGTGACTCTTGAAAAAAGTCCAGAGTTCTCAGTCAGGGGGTGGGAGTGGGATTTCTCCAGCTTCCAGACCTCACATAGCTATTAGATCTCAGTGGGCTACAGGCTAGACCCCGGGAAACCTAGCATTCCCAGCTCAGAAGTTTCTTCAGAATCTGAGCACAGGAACCAGATAGGATTTGGCTGGAGAAGGGTGTGTGGCTTAGAAGGTTGCAGAGGTGAGGACAGGATAGCAGATGCTGATTTCTTTTGTGAATGCATGAATGTTGGTGTGACTACAAGGGCACACCTGAATGTGTGTGTGCGTTTCTTGGCAGCCAGTAGCCTCTTGTGGACTGGATGGCCCAGTTAAGCCCTAACGTCCTGGTCTATCTGGGATAGATGGTAGGCACAACGGAGGGCCGGCACATGACAGGGCCCTTTGACAACTGCTTTCCTTGTCTTTCAGCCCATGAGGCTCCCAGACCCCACTGAGTGCCGCCCTGAAGGATGTCCCAGCTCTCCTCCACCCTGAAGCGCTACACAGAATCGGCCCGCTACACAGATGTCCCTTATGCCAAATCGGGCTATGGCACCTATACCCCCTCCTCCTATGGGGCCAACCTGGCCGCCTCCTTTCTGGAGAAGGAGAAGCTTGGTTTCAAGCCAAGCCCCCCCACGGGCTTCCTCCCCCGTCCCCGCACTTACGGCCCCTCCTCCATCCTGGACTATGACCGGGGACGCCCCCTGCTGAGACCTGACATCATCGGGGGTAGTAAACGAGCAGAGAGCCAGACCCGGGGCACTGAGCGGTCTTCAGGCAGTGGACTTAGTGGGGGCAGTGGATTCCCTTACGGAGTGACCAGCAACTCCCTCAGCTACCTGCCTGTGAATGCTCGTGACCAGGGGGTAACCTTGACCCAGAAGAAATCGAATAGCCAATCAGACCTGGCTCGGGATTTCTCCAGCCTCCGGACTTCAGATAGCTACCGGACCTCAGATGGCTACCGGATAGACCCCGGGAACCTAGGCTGCAGCCCTATGCTGGCCCGCACACGCAAGGAGCTCTGTGCCCTGCAGGGGCTCTACCAGGCAGCCAGCCGCTCGGAGTACCTGACGGACTACCTAGAGAACTATGGTCGCAAGGGCAGTGCACCTCAGGTGCTCACGCAAACCCCTTCCTCACGAGTCCCTGAAGTTCTCAGTCCCACCTTCCGACCCAGTGGCCGCTACACGCTGTGGGAGAAGAGCAAGGGCCAGGCCCCTGGGCCCAGCCGCTCCAGCTCACCAGTACGAGAGGCCTTGGTGAGTTTACCCTTGGGGACCCAGTGATGGGCTGGGGAGACAGCTGCTAATGCAGAAGAGCCAGGTTAAGGTCAGGATTCCCAACCTAACTGATGGTGGATGGCAAGCCTAGTGGAGACAGCATGTCTAGTGCCCTCCTGTCACACTGCCAGGGTAAGAGGGTTCCTGCTCTCCCAAGGACCTGTATGCTTAGAGGTGCTTCAGCATCACTCTCCAAATGACCTGGCTACTCCCCAAACACACACACACACACACACACACACACTGCTATTCTCCACCTATCCTGTTCCGGCCAAAATGCCAGGGAGCTAGATGCTGGAGCCTCCAGACTACCAGGGCTCCTTGTGGCAAACAGGTCCTGTCTGCTCTGGCTGCATCTCTCTTGTTCAGGCTTTACATCTGGGCCTAAGACACCAGAGGAAGAGGAAGTTTCCTCTGATGGACACTAATGGGCTAAGGCCCAGCATGTCTGGACACCAGGACTAAAGTACCTTTGGAGAAAATTGTGGAGACATTTTTTACTAGGGCTTGAGACAATCTAATACCTCTATATTCCTGTGTGGGTTGGAACCAAGAAAGCAGCTTTGCTGGAGACTGAACAATTGACTAGCATGGTCTCCCTTGTATCTAATTCCTAAAAATACCTCTCCAGAGGCATTAACTATATTCCACCTTTTCTGTAGTTATTAGTGTGCCCATTAGATGGCAAGTTGTCAGAGACTGGAAAAGATCCTGTCTCTGGATCCCTCTTGTGCCTCATAGAGCATGGAACTCAGCTGACCTGCTGACTGCATGGATGGATGGATGGATGAGTGGGTGGGTGGGTAGATGGATGGAGAGTTGGGTGAATGGATTCATGGAGAGCTGGATGGACAGGTAGATAGGCACACAGGCAAACATACAGGCAAGAGGGCTGGATGCTGTGTGAGCTCCATTACCTTATTTACTCCCTCTCATAGGTCATGTGCCTTTTGTGAACAACAGCTGTGCCACAGCAAAAAATGATGCTTAGAGCTCTTGCCTAGGCAAAGGGAGTAAGGGTCCAGCTCTAGAGACAGAGCACTGTAAAGTGTGTCATAACTAAAGATTTGAGAAAACAATTCTGATGGCATTACTTAAGAGAGCCTTGGCCTTGCTGGGCCATCTGGGAAGTACCAGGGAAGACAGATAAGCTGGAGTCTCCCAGGTCATTTAGACCCCCACAAGGCAGGGTTGGCTGTACTAAAGAGCTAGTAGAACTAGTAGAGCTAGTGTAGAAGCAAGTGTGAGACTGTGTCAGGAGAGCTGACCCGGAAGAGAAACACCTGCTCTCACAGAACTGTGCTTAAGGTATGCTTAAGGTGGAGCAGGATTCACTTAGACAAGTCAGATGTTGTTCAAGAGGTGGCATAGGTCCTAAAAGCTTCTGAGGACTGCCTCCCTTTGCTCAAAACAGAACATTCCGGTAAGCAGTGTTTCTCCAAGAGGAGTCTGCAGATTACCCATATCAAAAATCACCTGCAGGACTTAACAGTGTATCCAGACCCACTGGCACAAATTCTATGGAGATAATGGCTGGGAATCTGCCCTTGTCACAAGTTCTTCGTGTGATTTCTAAGCATGTTCAAGTTGAAATCCTGCTCCCCAAATACTGAACTATAGACCCTACCCCAATACCCTATCATGAGAGAGCAGGGTGTCTCAACTAGGAGACAAACTCCACTGGGACTTTGCCTCCTTCCTCACAGCCAGCTCTCCCTGGAGTCTGCTGCCCTTCCCAAGGGCCCAACTGGCCCCACCCCAACCCCCAGGACCAGGGAGAGAGAAGCTTTGAGAGAGGTCCTCAGAGGAATGGCACACTGCCCTGTGACAAACACAGTGGCCCTAACATCCTTCCCCTCTGCCCCCATCCAGAAGCAATTCACAACACTCTTAAGTGGTCAGGGATGCCCTACAGTGACTTCAGGGGGCTCAGAAGCCTAAGACCTTTGTTTACCTCACTCCTTTTGTTCTCACTTCTGGAAGCTGATTGTGTCCTATACAGGTGAGAACAACCCGGCTCATGTGGCCTAGTCCACTTCTTTCTAAAATCAGGTCCAGTTTCTCTTTAGATCTCCATTTGGGGTGTGGGTATCTTTTCATCTTTTCATCCATTCATTCATGCTTACTAGCCCGACACTCAATGCCTAGTACTGAGTGCTCAACATCTAGCTTACTTGAGTAGGTTTCTTAACTTCTGAACCTGTTTCCTGTTCTGTAAAATGAGAGTGATCCTAAGTTCCCACTTCATACATTTTGTGAGGAATTAACAGTAATGTATGTGAAAGTGCCTGGCACATTGTAGGTGCTCAGTAAATGTCAATCCTCTTTGTACTCTTCCAGGTGCTTTGGAAGGCAAGAGATGTGCAAGCCATTGGTTTGCCTTTGTTGTATTCACAATTCACTTGGAGAAATCAGTTCTCAAATAATAACAATAGGAGGTTGTCCTGGGTGTGTTTAAGTGCAGTCAGTGGTGAGAAAGGAAGAGGTCATCTGAGGCTGAGGCAGGCTTCCCATGACCTCTGGAAGGTACAGTTTGTAAACCTTGGACACCTATCAGCTGAGTTGTATTTCCTCATCTATAAAAGGGAATGATCACACCTGCCCTGCCCACCTCACAGGAATGCCACGAGGCTCAAAACAAATAATGAATGTGGGGAATCTAAAATCAGTAAAATGTTATGGAATAGTTCATTCAAACGTAAGAGGCAGGGCTGGGGATGTGGCTCTGTGGTAGAGCACTTACCTAGCATGCATAAGGCCCTGGATTCCATCCCCAACACCAAAAATAAACTTGAGATGGGATGGAAATGATAAAGGGGAGGTGTATTTTGCAGTGGGGAGAGGCCCCCCTGTAGGAGGAACAAGTGAGAAAATGTGTCCTATACCCCAGGACTCTCAAAGGGCCAACCTGACCTACAGTTGGTTTTCAAAGAGAAAGGGAGGTCAGACGCAAGCCCTGAGCAGGAATAGAACTGTTCCAACGAGACTCCTTCCCCTAATTAACAGTAACAGCCATCAAGAACTTGGAATATTACAGACTCCACTGAGTATGAGTAAAGAACTGGTGGGGAAGAACATGAATTCTGAACAACCCCCTCCCCGTGCCTGTGCAGGCACCAACAAAATGCCAGTCTGTGGGGTACAGCACAGCACTAGGACAATGAGGGTCTGCCCAGAGGCTTCACCTTCGGCTAAAAATGCAGACAGGTGAGCCAGGGCAGTGATGGTGAAAAATAATAGCTGGTTACCCCCAGTGGGGACTACAAGCCAGCCCAGGTGGCTAGGCCCTGCAGAGCCAGGAGCTGGAGCACCGACCCATCATCTCCCCACTCTGCCCCACCTCTCCTGTTCCTGGGGCCTGTAGAAGGACAAGCTGTTCCCACTGAGCCCTGCCAGGCTGCGCTTTAACCCCTACAATCCTTCCTAATCCTCCTCCGCTCCACCCCTCCAGCTGCTCCTTGCCAGCCCTGGCATTCTGCCTGCTGGCATCAGCCGTACACTTGCCCCTCCCAGACTCCCCCTCTCTCCCCAAGAAGAGCCAGGGGTTGGCCCAGGGCCTTCCTGAGCACAGTCAGCAGGCTGGGCACCTGCTCCTCAACAGAGAGTCAGAGACCAAGGCTCGGAGTCTGACCCAGCCTATTCTCCTGCACACCCTTGTTCTCAGTTTAGAGTACTGTTCCTATGATGGAACCTGAGTACCTGGGTCCTATTTGCCCCTGGGGCTGCTGACTCATCTTCTGAGGCCTTGGGTTCCAGCTGTTCAATGACAGGGAGATTATATAAACTGAGGTCATGTGATTTTCCTCTCAGGTGGGACTTTGGACTTGAATGCTGCCCTGCAGCAAGTGGTGGTTCTCCAGGGAGAGCAGCTGAGGATGGCAGGACTGCCCAAGAGCTCCTAGGTGAGAGAGAAGCTGACCTTCCTCTCTCATCCCTTACTCCTGTTGACTTGGCCACATTGGACTGCATCCCTGCTGGCTAGTCCAGCTTGGCAGCTTGAGACCCTGGGGCCCATCCTCACCCATACCCACCCCAGGCTCACTCAGCTTCCCTGAGGAGATCAGAATTCCAGAGGACTTGAATCTGTGCTGCCAGCACAGGAAGGTCACTCAGGGAAAGCATTAATGGAGAGTTCTCACAGCCAGGGAGGGCCAGTACTAGCTGCTGAGAAGGAAAGGGCAGCTAGTTTGTGGTTTGATTAGAATCAGCAAGATGCTGATGTCTCCATTCCTTGAAGACTGGCTGTGGGCTGTGACCTGGTTGGTGGCCTTAGCACTGCCAAACCCAGGTTTGATTTCTCAGTCAGTGACCAGAACCATCCATCCTCCCTGCCTTTTCCTCTGCCCCTACCCCATGACATCTTCAGGAGTTAATGTGGTGCTGGGGTGGGGCTCAGCAATGCAGAAGTTAATCCAAGCCTGGCAAAATGTTCCCTGCCCCTGGGGGAGCCGCTCCACTGACCATCGGCTTTAGAAATAAACATCAGGTTCAAAGCCCAGAGCTGCACACGTGGCTCTTTGCCTGCCCCCCTTACCTCAATGGATAAGTAAAACTGGCACCCCGGACAGAGGTATAAGCAAGAGAAGGAAGTATATGGGCTTCAGGAATCCAGCTGGTTCAGGCCAGACTGCCTGGGGCTTAAAAGAGTACAGAGAATTATCTTGGCCTCTTGTGTGTGGGGGGGGGGGGATCCAAGTCATACAGGGACACAGAACTTCCTCCAGCTAGTGAGGGAAGCAGACTGACCCTCCTCCCAAGGCACACTGTGGACTACAAGCTCAACCCCTAACAAGGATGCAGAGCCTCTACCTTTTCATCTGTCAGTCAATCAGACCACCAGTCTATCTATAGCAACTGTAGGTACTTGCTAGGAACCAGGTCACTGGCCTTGAGACATATGCCTAAGCCCAAGCAATGTCACCAAACTCTGGACCAATATACAGATCTGAAAGAGGACAATCTTAGGTCCTGGCCTCACAGAGCTAACTCAGAGTTTAATGTATTCATACTCCATCTCTTGCCAGGAAGGATGTGAGGTGAAGAACATGACATCCTACATGGGAAGCAGGCAAGTCCAAGTTTTTGAGAAATGGGAGTATTGGTCATCAGGAATGAGCCCAGCTCAGATTATCTTGATATACCTAAGCATAGAAAGTCACAGAGCCTAGGCCACACACAGATCCCAAAAGATGATCTCCTTTGTGCAAAGCCCACTTCAAGAAATGGCACTAGGGAAAAAGGGTCTCCCAGGGACTGGGCTAGTTGAGAAACAAGCTATAATTATTTGTTGGCTGTGTCTGGGAGCAGCCAGACCTTCTGGATAAGACTGAATCCTGTGTGAAGTCTTTCTACTCACCCCAGACTTCTCAAAGCACTCGCATACTAGAGCTTTCCCCATCTGGCCCACCCTGGTCCCGGCGAGCTGCTCCCTGCCAATCTCCTGCATCCCAGGAAAGATTGAGAATGTTCATGGCAGAATGCCAAGGTGTCCTGGGGCAGGAATGCTCACGTCACTGGCTCTAAGTCATGGGGACACAGGCCAAATGCTGCAGT